ACAATGCCTGCAAATTGAAAAACGGCCGAAACTGTAAGTGCATAATGATTATAAAAATATTAACGCCTTTTCTGGTAAGTGGAGGCGCAGTGGCGTCATGTTTAGTACGCTCGCCTCCGCATCGAGCCCTGGCCGGGGAACTTTGGCAAGACACTTTAAAAATCTCCCAGTGCTTCTATCCACCCAGGTGTATAAATGAGAGAAAGGGGGTGGGGGGGGGGGGGGAGGGTAAACCTGCGATGGACTAATATCCCGTTCATGAGGGAATAGAAACACTCCTAGTCACGTCATCTTAAGGAAAGCGGATAAATAGGCGGCGGCCTGATGGGCCACTTGACTCATCTGGTCAACCTTCTTCAGAAATATCAACATACGATTTTACTATATATTTAACGAAAGCAACGAAATGGACTTCTTTGTGATATTTTTCGCCGTACTTCAAAAAGCTAAGGGACAATTAAAGGCTCAAATCAAATCATTGCGGTATTTTTAAAAGAAAATTTTTTCTAACTATTTAAAAACCAACAAATTAATTGCTATATTGTCGACAGGGTCATTGCCCATTTGAAATCTTCGGGAATAATAGAACATTATAAACTATGTACAATCATGAAAAGCTTTGATCTCTGAGGATCACTGTGGTTGAATCAGCTATACGAGGCCTTGTTTCTTTAAAAGTTTCTATTTTAGAAAATGTTTTGGCCTTTTATACCACATATCAATATTTCACTTTATTTTAGTTTCTCTTTTTTTCTTTTTCCCTTGTTATACGCACCTTGTGTTGTTGCTGAATATTCCTCGGGTGTTCTTTCTTTAAAATACACAATGCAAGCCGGCATGGAAACACCGTACGCGAGCAATTGCATAACTTCGGGAATGATGGCTAACCAAGGGTTTGTCAGCAGTCCATAGATAGCGAAAGCTGCCACATAGATAGCAAGAGACAAGTTAATTGTGTCTAAACATCCTAATTTTCTGATTAGGATTCCTGAGGAGCCAAATGAAAATGCGCCTGCGATGTTACGACTTGCTCCAGCCACGCCTATAACCCACGTGGCTTGAGATGGGTCGATATCAGTTAGATACCAGAACATGAAATTGTTAAAAATGCCGTCAACTATCCCAAGGTAAAGAATAACGACGATAAATGCAATGCTATGAAGGTTTAACAAGACATCTTTTAGGGATGATTCTTGTATTTTCGTCTTGGTTGTGTACGAATCTGTTGTCCTTAATTCATCCTGTTTGAAGTCTATCATTAGACCCATTACAGAGGCGACCAGCATCATAGTCGAGAAAGCGAACATTGTTAGTCCGTAATCATCCTGAATAACGCCGCAAACTCTAACAGTGTTGGATTTTGCTACAGGTGAAACTGTCAAATAAAGAATGATTTGACCAACGTTTCCCCACATTCTAATACTTCCATAGTTAGTCGAATTGCTGTCGAGGTTTTCTAAAAGAGCTGAATCTGCAAAACTTTTCGTTGGTGCGGCAATGAATTCTGTGACAATGAAGAGAACCAAAAAAATAAGGAAAATTTTCAACAGCTCTTGACTTTGCCCAGTATCTTCTTGATCACTAGTCTTCTCTATCCAAGTTTTGTTGTAGGGATGCTTTGGTGTTTCCATGGCAACTCTTAATTGACATTCCGGTTCAGAAGGTCGTGGTATCAGTAGCAACACAGGCGCTAATGATTGTAACGCCAGGCTAACAAGAAAACCAAGTTTTCTTGAGTTTGTTTCGTCCGCTACGTATCCTATAATTGGGGCTCCCGCACCGCGTGCAAAAGGAATCACTCCTGAAAGAATTCCCACATAACTTGCACTGAGTCCCAACTGTTTTAGATAGATAGGAAGATATAAAAACCTCATGGAGTATGCAGACAGAAAGAAAAAGTAAAATGCTTGAAATATAAATTTGGTTCTATCAAATGACCAATGTCTTTTCCATCCTTTTCCTCTCACAGTGTCCATAGTCGGTCGGTGTAAATATTTACAATGCGCCAGTGGACCTAGGGAATAAAACGAAAGTATTAAAAAAAAAACGTAAGACTCTGATTCAAACAAAACAGCCGAGGAAATTAAACCAAATAAGACTTTTTCATTCTTCCATAAACCTGTGCTTTCCTGAAACGCCTATAAAACTACATGC